CCTGGTTGTGGACCATGTGAAACAGATGCTGGCCTACTGCTACTGGAGGAGTTTGATTGGATCACTGTAGGTACGTATGATGGCCTCTCCTACAAACAAAAAACACAGTATTATCAAGTATGATAGTACAGTAGGTAGTAATATAAAAGTAGAACTTTTGCACATACAGAGGGTAGCCAATGGCATGTCCATCAAACTCATGATTTCTTCAGGGCTAATGAGTGGTTCTTTCTTGGAAAGTAGGGTGCGCTTCTGGATGTTTGGCTATGAGGTGGCTCCCTTTAATATTGATTTGCTGATGAGAGTGTCCATTGGTTCAAGGTATATATCCTTGATGATTTTCACAAAAAGGTGCGACTTGATGACAAGGTGACCTGTCTTTTCTCCCAATGGTAAAAGTAACTGGCTAGATGTTTTGGGTGTATGTTGTAGATTGTTTTGAAGAAACGATGAGTTGTAGTGAAAACATACCATAGGGAAAGTAATCTGCTCAAACTAGCACTATTATATGTTAGGGCTATTAGGTTGCAGCCTCTATGCCCTTTACTGCTAGGCTGTTGTACTACACCTAAAATTCATCACATACTGTATGTTACACGCACATTTAGTAAAATGATTCAACTCACCAAATGCTTAGTGGGGATGTAACCAACTTTCAAGGTTGTCGTATTACAGCCTCTCCACCAATAATCATCCAACTTCTCGTAGATCTCAAGAACGTCTAACTTCTCAAAGTATAATGGTGCTTTTGAATCCGGTGGCGGAGGCAGGCCGGAGTAAGCATATTTGGCCTTTACAACATCTAGTACCGGTATTTTCACTAAAATGTTAAAGATGTATTGTTCCATGAAAAATACAAAAATAAATCATACAAATCATTTTTGAAATTACCAACTTTAACATAATAAAAAATGTATTTGAAAAAGTTTATCCATAATTTTACAGCGATAAATTATAGAAACACTTCCAGGGCACACAATTTTTAAATTGAATAATTTCTATGCTAAAGTCAATAAGTTGTATCTCACTGCAAAATGGGACAATACATCTTTAAAAAAAAGCTTTTTAATCAATCATTCAATCACCAGAGATTTATAGAGTTCAAATACACCGGGTTGTGTTCTCCATAGAACTGCCTCGGCCGACAACTGTCAGGTGCAGCGTGTGGTTGGCTTTAGTGGCATGAATGATGTGGGCTCATATTGAAAAATGAAAACATTAATTTTCTTGAATCATATACAAATAGAAAAGTAGTACGCAAATAAACACGATAAATGCAAATTGCAACATAATGACATTATAATCACATACTCAGTAAATCCCTTAGTTCCCGTGTTAATGCCACATTAAAATAATCAGCTACACTTGTCAAAAAGAGTAGTGGAATTTGTACATCAGAAATAGCCTTCACACCATAATAGGTAGTAATATAATAATGATACTGAAGATTAAGATAATGATATTGGTATGATAATGATGATAATAAATGATGAAATAGATAATGAAACAGATGATAATGAAGGAATGATAAACAGACAATGATGATGATGTTGATAAAATAGATAATAATAATGATGATGAAAGTGATGGTGATGATGACAATGAGGCAGATGATAATGACGAGGATGCTGATGACAGCAGTAATAAGATTATGATTATGATGATAATGATGAATTAGATAATGCCGATGATAAGGTAAAAAAAAATAAATGGTTTGTTTGCTCTCCTCTACGCGCCCCTAACTCACTGAAAAAAATTGGGGCGGAAATACAAAAAAAACTTAGAAAAAGTTTTTTTTTTAGCTTTTTTCTTTACACGTTAAAAAAAATGTGAGTGAAGTTATCTTTATTTTTTGCCAGATGATGATGATGATAATGTAATGATGATGATGATGATGATGATAAAGAAATGATGATGAAATACTAATTGTCTTGGTGATGATGATAAAGTAATGATGATGATGATGTTGTAGATGCTGATAATGAACTCACTTCCAGGTCTACATGTCATGATGATTTTCTTTGAGAGACATTCCTTGTGAGCTGACTTCTTACATCTGCTGCACTTGTAGCCTTGGAAGAATATACCCCTTCAGAAATGATTCATAAAATAAATTACAAATAACAAATGAACCACAATCAGCATCAGTGACAAAAGCATGAAAATTAACTTTTTAATATATTCATATTCTAATAATACTACCACATTCTTATGCTAATCACTCAGTTAACAATTAACATCTCAAAGAAAGTTGATTGACAGATAAACCGACTAATCAGCGAGCGTCATTTAGTCAAGTGATCAAAAACTTTTTCTCAGACATTTTAATTTCCTTAGACAGCTAGTACGCGAAACATACGTGAGTCTAGGCCTAGATGTCTATGCTTGGTTATAGATACCCAGATTTACACGAGCAGTGCGCATCAGTGACTTGGCCTTTGACGACAACAAGGTTGACTGAATGCAGCTTTTCCCTCTTCCTTTGGGAGCGAAATACAAAGGGTTTTACAAGAATTTCCCGTCATTTTCCATGAAATGGATTAGCACTATGAATATATCATTCATTTGCATACCGCCTACCCTGAAATCTCTTTCTTAAAGAAGGTTGATAGCAAAGAAAATCTTCGCCAACTCGGTAAGTCTAGCCGCCATCGTCTAAGGTTTTCGTGACTTTGTGGGCGGGGCTTCGCGTCCTTATCGACATGTCAATTAGCGAAAGTACGCTGGTTTTGGGATGGCAAGCCTCATATACAGTTGTGTAAAAAATATGAAACAAATGGAATCAATGTTCAAGTGCAGAAGTGTTTATGCTGGTAGGTGTCAATGGTATTGCGGCACCATCATGATGTGACATGCGACAAAATGCTGTATAATTGTCACATAAGCAAATGTGTAAGCATAATCATGTACTCTCCAAAGTAAGATCTATTCAATCAAGAGACTACACTAACCTTAAAAGTTTCTTGCAACCATCACAGTAAGTAGGGTCTGTAAAGCTAGTGTATTCAAAAGCGTGATTTGTCTCGTGCTTCGGGTTAATGTTATCTCTGCAAAAAGTTAAAAATGACTTAGGGAAAACAGTAAACAGCCTGACTTGCATGTATGAATGAAGTTGTATGCTAATATTGCAGTACCAGGTCAATATGTTATGCTATGGCTCATTCATCCCCGGTTGTTGTGGAATGATGGAAGCTGCTAAGTGCCTGTCTTCTACAGTATTCACGGACCATGGCCATACACAATTCAGCACGACGCCATGTGAGTTACTGGGTATTAACCAACCTTACAGTACCTGCCTCTAACTATAATACACAATATGCTTACATCCCTCACACCCAAGTTAAAATCATTACCCTTCAAGTGAGATTATACAGTTCGCCCACCAATTTGAGACGAGGGGTGGTCTCAGGTTTTGACTCATAGAGGGCTAGCTCTGTGTTAAAAGGTTGAAGATTGTTATTTGGGTCTTTGTAAAAGTGGTCTTGAATATAGAGGGGTCTCGGAATTAGAGGGGTCTCAAATTGGAGAGTGCAGTGTAATACACATTGATCTTTGCTACTCTTGAAATCGTTGAAAATTGTAAATGTAAATTTAGTTTGCTCTTTGAACTTGATGAACACTTCTGGTTTCAAAAGTATTTCTTTGGTCCTAAAATGACTATCATTTCACAATGTAACTGTATAATTTGTAGGCCAATTTCAAGTGGTTTATTATCTTATTTTTATACATATTTATTTATTATAATTCAACATACAACATATATATATATATATATATATATATACGTCAACCGTTTCATTTGATTATTATAACATAAAAAAATATTACAATAAAACAAATAGTATACAACAAAAAGCAGATCAGTGGAGCTAGACGAGGTGGTATGTATAATAATAATATAAAGAAAAAATGCAAATATACTTGGCTAATCTAATGCTGTCAACCCATTTTGTCATCATGTCTCCAGTTTTTGTGTAGATTTCCACCGCAGACAAATCCGGGCTACTGCTGATAGGTGTCAACCAGAAACACCAATTCCACTGTTAACAAGAAAACATATATATTACAGCCATGATATTTAGTGACATTCTCAAATATGCTTGTAAGTTGTAGTCAGAAAGTTTCAGTCTGCATTTTATCAAAGGCTTGTAGTTTACATCACGATGTCAATGTGGTGTCAACATTTTGAACCTAGTCTTTTCACAACTCTGCCGCAGCCCGCAGACGTTATAAACTTGCAATGTATTGGTCCGTGCCAGTCAAAGATTTATTCAAAAAGTTACAATAATAATGGTCAGTTTTATATAGTACATCATGCGTCATTGAGCTCTACATCTTTATACTAAGGCCAAATGGTCAAACCCTATTAAAGCGTATGCAGAAGTCTTGAAATGGGTGGGCTGATAGGTGAGGGTGAAGGGGAGGGGAACCTTCACAATTGAGTGGGGGCCACTAGCTAATAAAATAAGGTGATGTGAGGTTATTTTTAACTACTTAAGAATTACTTTTTTGCTTAGAACATTTTCAATGGAGGTGGGAGGTGATAAATGGGGCACAAGCTTTTTGAAGAATGGTACAAAACCCCTAAGTACGCCACTGCAAGTCACATCAACAACTTTGATAATTTAATGCTTTCAATTTGTCCTTTGATATTTAAATATACAATTTTAGATGGCTTTACCTTTCCTTTTCCTTTTGGCAAATTGTCTTCAATCATATAGCAACTAAGGTCTATTGAATGTTTGAATTCATGGCTTTCTTGCCCCTAAAAAAGATAAAAAGGGTTGGAATTTACATAGGAAACAACTTTGTCATTTATAAGTCATTATGAAAAAAGAACTGAATTAAAATTAAGGGTTAAAGAGAAGGATAAATGGAAGTAGTTAGAATTAAATGAAGGAGTTAATGGATAGGACTAGGGGTAAGGATTAAAGAATAAAGGTTAGGAATTGAAGGAAAGAATTAATAGTAGGGATTACAAACAAATATTATGAGATAGGGATATATTAGTTTTTGAAATTATGATGCATATAAGCCCTCATTAAACAAATAGTAAAAAGCATTGGCATCTTGAAGGTCACATGACAAATACATGATGCACTGGGCAGTTCGCTCCATAAAACATGTTAAAACTTAAAAAGGGGGATTATTTCTCGAAGACCTCATTAACCATTCAAGGGCATTATATCCTGCATGCTCGAAATGCAGACTAGAGCACTAACGTTGGAAAGGTGATCATGCATCAATCCACCAGTTACTTACTGTATATATAAAGCCTTATAAAAGAAGTGTACATCAACATTATAATACTTGTTTAAATTTCACCAGGTGGGAAAAATACTAGAAAATTCTTATTTTCTATTATTCAGCTTTTAACAATATTACAGTTGTATATCTGTTAATTCCTTAGACAGAAATGGAATAAATAACATTATGAGCACATATGTATTTAGTTGTTATAGCTTAACAATTTTTTTTCTAAAATCAAATAAAAGCAAGTATTAAAAAAACATGCAAGATGAACTTGCAATCTATTCTCGAAATTGCCTAAAACTTCATTCTTGAAACAAAACTGAAATCAAAACATAATAAATTCACCTAAAAGCATGTTTATCTAAATATCCTTAATAAAAACTAATAGGCCTAGGTTTTAAAAAATAATTAGCCAAGGCTATATTTTTTATATTAACAAATTATTATCAATCTTTACTCAAGGAAAACTCAAAATAAAAAAAAACTTTAGAAACAACATTTAATGTTTATAAAAAGTAAATAAAAAATAAAATAAGATTAACAAATCACATGTAGAAGTTATTGGTACATTTTATCTTCTGTCATATAACTATTGCTAAATAAATAACACACAGACACCCCCCACACATACATATATAT